TCAAATTTCAGAAACATCTTTATTGCTTAGAATCACTTTATAGACATACTATTACTTAAAAACTCAGGGCCCTTTCATCTCTTTGTACACTGAAAAAGTTCAATTGGTAGCACACAAGCAATTAGATCTAGTTGACTATTTCAGGTGTTTGTTGCACAGTTCATTTAATGTTTCATCTTATTGTTTGACTTAATTCACATAGACATAATACCTAATTTCATTAATCAAAAAAAAAAAACTTGCCCAGTTCTGTAATTACTAAATAGAAGGAATGACTCAGCTAATTGGCCACGTGTTACAGCAAATTTAGGCCTTGGAATTAAAGCACTGGTTTAAAAACTCTGTTCTTTAACTCTGTTCTTTGGTTCTGTGGCTATTGGTGATGAAACAAAGTGTTTCATTTTGTTTTGTTTTTAATAACAGCTTAGGAAGGTAATTCTGAGATAGAATTTTCTTAAGAGGTAATTAGCATTATAAAACATTCTTCTAAAAGTGAATTAACGAGTCTATAGCTTTAGTAATAGCTTGGATGGCTTTGAGAAGGTAGTCTATGGAACCTACTTATCACATTGTCAGAGCCCAACAATTTTTCTTTGAATCAGACAAATTCAAGTTCTAATTGGTATGCTGTATATTGAAAATATTAACAGCGAAGTTATTTGTAATCAGTCTCTTGTCTCAGGCTCCCCACCTTGTTACCAACCCTAAGTATGTAAAAGAAACATTTGTAAAGATGCTTAGCAGTAAGAAAACTAAATGACTAAAAAATGCAATTCAAAGCAGTTAGGTTTCAATTTAATATTGAATTGCTTGACTTCTGTGGCTTTTTTTCTAGTCACATTTATTTATTTTAAGCGATTTTTGTATGCCTTGTCATTTCTTTTCCATAGATACTGTATTGTGTAAGTGTTTATGTATGCTAGAATCATCCTTAATTTTCTGTTGATAATTTTCAGTGAATTTACATGGATAACTGTAAAATACACTAACTTTTAGGGTGTTGTAGATGAAACATGGAGATATGTAGCTGCCATGGTTTTTCTGAATGAACAGGAGAAACATACGCTACAAAGTATTCATTTCTGAGGATGCATTTCTGGAAAAAGAAAGGCTGAAAATATTGGCATTCCTCAGAACCCTCTTTCTTGTTAACGGGTATCTTTTGTTGGTGTGTTTTGCTATTACATTATGAATAGAATATCGTATATGAATTTATGAATAATTACTTTCAGTTATTTTCTTTTGTATAAGCCGTCTGAGACCTTGCAATGCTGTATAAGTTGTGTTTGATGGATCAGTGTATGAAACAAAGCAAATCACTTTTCTTCTGTATTATCTATGGATGCCACTATGAAAGCTGACATTAAGCCACTGAAGAGTTTTCTATGAATAAGTGTAAGTAAATGCTTTGATATATATAAACCTAAATAAAGATTGTATTGAGACAGAGACGTTGGAGAAGGGAAGTCTAAGACAGTTCTTTAGGTTTAAAAAGGCTTGCTGTAAAATGGTGCATTATTCCACTTATTAAAGATCATATTAATGACAACAGTAATTGTATTTTATTGTATAAAGTCTCCAGAAATTGTTATTGCTAATATGATATTGTTGGTACTTTGTAATAGGGTAAGTACATGCTCTGTCTAATGTGACTCATATAATAGTATGATTCAAGAAAAAAAAATCAGCTGCACCTGGAATAGCTGCTGCTATCTGACCATGTACAATATGCCAGGCACCATGTTAGTTATTTTTTATACAGTTGACAGTTCTCAAAACAATTTTACAGATATGTTGTGTTTACCTCTCTTTTATAAGTGGAAAAACTAAAAGAAAAATTAAATACTTTCCCCAAGCCACAGACCTGGTAAGAGATGAGATCCCAGTGCATTTTCTACTTCAGCTTTTGAGCTTTGCCCATGAGAAGGGGAACTCATAAACAAAAATGAAAATTGCTCAGTAGTGTAGCCAAGAACATGATCGAAGTGGCCAAAGCCACTAGCTACTCAGCAATTTCTGGTTGCATAGTACCATGGCAGTGTTTCACATTGTTAAGTAATCTTTTTGGTTAGATCCTTATATTTTTAGAAAGTTTCCTCTTCCTCCCCCAGTGTGTATGTTACCCTGCTTTTGCCTCCAGAGTAGCTGGCACTGCAGTCTTACACCACCATACCAGCAGAACACTTGCTTACAATGAAACGTGTTTAGAAGGGCAACAAATTGTATCTGTCTCTAGATTGATTCAGTGTGTTGGTCCTGCAGTGGGATCCTGTATCATTCTATAGGGAAAACATGTTTAAGAGGATGCCCTTTTACCTAGAAGCCACGTGAACTTTGGCTGGAGAATAGTGTGACTAGCTGCCACAGGTTCTGATGTTATCTTAAATGATACTTATTCTAGGGGTAATAGATTTGAGGTATCTTTTTTTTTTTTCCTTTTGACTCTTAAACTTGGGGTCTGGTAGAGTGTTACAGAGTACCATTACAGTTCACTGGAGAACCTGCTCAGTAGTATTTAAGACAAGGACTTTATGTCCTTAGAGGAAATGTAATGACAGCAAAAGCATGTCATAATGACTTGAACCTTTAATGACTTTCCACAGTAATTTTCACTTATGCCTCTAGTCTATCTCCCCAATTTATATTTCTCTCTGTAAGGAACTGCCTTCAGCTAGTGTTTAATCTTTGTTTGTTCTATATATATATTTTTTTTAGATTAAAGGCCAAATTCTACATCTATAGCCTTCATTTGTTGGTATAATTTATTTTTCAAAATTGAAAAGCTAAACAGAGAGATAACAAAAGTATGATATGATTCCTCCCCCAGGAGGAGGAGGTATGTGACTTCTCCTGCAGAGATGCACAGAAATGCCCATTTGTACCATACAGGACACCAACTGACCAAAGAAATGACTGGGTCCAGCTTGGTGAGCCAATGAGTTTACTGCGGCTGCCACTGTAGTATGGATTGCTTAAAGCTGAAAAATTACACCCCAGCATGGAGGACAATTCAGGAGAGCTGCTTCACTGGAGTCCTCTCTCAGCTAACATCCCAGGTAAAGGTCTCTCTCCCACAACCTTCCTCAAGGGATTACAGCAGCTTCGTTACCATCACTGTATTCCTTTATTTAACTGCCATGGCTGAGGGACCAAGGTATTAGGTCACCATGGCAATCCCTGAACCATGTTGGCCAATGGAGGAAAAGGCTACACCACAGCAATACGAAATGGTCACATCCAAACAAGGTGATACATAAGTGCCAAAATAAATGGTAAATTATATTCTCAATCTGTGCTTGAAAAGCCAAGGAGGGGCTGAAGAGATGGCTCAGCAATTAGGAGCACTGATTGCTTTTGCAGAGGACCCACATGACAGCTCACAACCATCTGTAACTCGTTCCTGGAAGATTTGATGCCCTCTTCTGGCCTCCATGGGCATTGCATGAATGGATACACTTACATACAGGCAAAACACATAAAAATAAAATTTAGGGGCTGGAGAGATGGTGCGGTGGTTAAGAGCAGTAGGTGCTCTTGCAGAGGACGTGGATTCAATTCCCAGCACCCACATAACTGCTAAGATCTGTCCCTAACTCCAGCTCCAGAGGATTGGATGCCATCTTCTGGCCTCCACAGGCATTGCATGACACAGGTGCACATACATGCAGACAAAACACTCGTAAGGGGGCTGGAGAGATGGCTAAATGGTTAAGAACACTGCTCTTGCAGAGGACCTGGGTTTGATTCCTAGCACCCACATGGCAGCTAATGACTATCCATAACTCTGGTTCCAGGGGAATCCGATGCCCTCTTCTGACCTCTGTGGGCATTGCATGACATGAGTGACACACACATACAGGCAATACACCCACACACATAAAAATAAAAAAGGATAAGATTGAAATAAAAATTTGAAAATAAATTTTAAACAGGAACTGGAGAGATGACTCAGCAATGAACACTGGTTACTCTTCCAGAGGACCCAGGTTCAATTCCCAGCACCCACTTGGCAGCTAACAACTGTAACTCCAGTTCTGGGGGATCTGACACCCTCTTCTGGCCTCTGCAGGCTTGCACACACAGCTGTACTTACATGCAGGCAATACACTCACATAAAACAAAAATAATAAAAGAAAAAGGAAGACTTCAGCTCCAGGGATTAATATTAAGCAGGGTCTTGAAAGAATGGGTAAGATTTATTTCACCAGGAAACATCAAGGCAGAGTATTCTAAGTCTCAGAAGAGAATGAACTGGAAATAAAGCTGACTATAAGTAAATGCGAGGTTTTGAAAACCAGAT